GTGTTGCCTTTCTTCTTAATTATTTCTTTGACCTCCTCGTATGCCTCCATGAGGATTTGTGCCTCCGACGGGGAAAAGTACGCCGCTCTAGTTGCCATGGTGAATCAGTGAATCTGTGATCGGTGGCGGGTCTATTTGAGTGAGCCGTGAACGCGCACATATCCAGGATTGGTTACACCTGGCTTGATGAATCCGTGTCTGCTCATCCTGGCTTGGTCTTTGTGCAACCAATTAAGCCTGGACGCACGTGTTTTGGATTCATTGAGCTCAGCTCAGTCATTTATCCTGGATGTCTTAATTCTACTTTTGTGCAACAGGCCCCAGGTGCTGGCGATATAGAAATCACACTGGCAGCCAGTTAAAATTGGAGAAAAGTTGACTCAACCTTTGTGTCTTGTGGACCACGCTGAGCATGGAGAAAAGGAAGAAGAGCAGAGAATTGTCAGGATTTGAGAACCACAGCAGTGGAAAAGCCTGGACAGTCTCAAGGCTACAAGTCCATCTCCAGAGATCTGGCTGTTCCTGTGTCCACTGTACACAACATTGTCAAGACGTTACAGCCCATGGCGCTGTAGCTACTCTCCCTGGACGTGGATGAAAGAGAAAAACAGATGACAGACTGCAACGAAGGATTGTTCCAATGGTGGATAAAGAACTTTGATCAACTTCCAAACAAATTCAAGCTGATCTGCAGGCACAGGGTGCAGCAGTGTCAGCTCACACTGTCCGTCACCATCTGAATGACAAGGGACGCTGTGGTAAGAGATTCAGACTCAAGGGCAAGATATTGGCGATCCTTTGGAATGGCAGTAGCATGGGATCTCAGTCAACTATTGAGACTGAGGGAGGATCCCTACTGCTCCCTCAAGTCATCTGTTATGCACAGGACTCTGTCCTCCCACACTCTCCAATCTGCCCTTACAAATCCATGCCTGGATAGCAGTTAAAACATGTTTTGTGAGCTCTCAAAATGTTTTGGCGCTGACAGACTTTCACACAAAACCCAGTTTGAGAGTGCCAGTTTAGAAACGAACGCTGGACTGGGATTATGCTCTCATATCTGATTCTACACTTGCAAATCTGTGATACCAAACTCTGAAATGCTGAGCTGCAAAACAATGTAAAGCTCAATATGTGGTGTGTGTACCCTCAAAGGTTTTGGAGAGGATTCACTTCCATACATTTCTGCTTTCAGATTTGTGTGGTCTGTCCACATACAATGAGATGAGGGCTGATAACCCAACAACTAAAATCCCCAACAAAAAGGAGCAATACTGTGTTTACAAAGCACATTTTTAGATCAGTATGGTTTCTCAAAATCCCAAGGTGACATCTTTTAAGTGTATTATTTTATCCCACAGTCAAAAACCCAAAGATATTCTCCACAGTGGAGAAGATAGAACCAGTGAAGGTTTGGAGTTTTTACTATTAATTAATTGTCAGTTGATTTTCTGTTGCTCTTGTTTTAGCTCCAAACATTTGTCTCAGGAGTTGGTGGAGACCAAAACAGAATTAAAATATGAGTAATTATTGGTTTTGGATTAATTCAGTATTCATCAACTTCAGATGAATAATGTGTTTGCTGAATGTGGAAATTAACATGTTGGTGTCAACAACTCTAAGGTGATGATCAGTCTTGTGATTGCAGCTTGTTCTGCCGCCCCAAGTGGCCAAAAGTCATTCTTGCAGCTTTAAATCTAACTTCCTACTTGTATAGATATGGTCAAAGTGGAATTTGCTTTAGCCCAGACACTAGTCATAAATCTGTTTCCTTTTTCTTGTAACTGTAATGACACACTCAGACCTGACAATGAGGGCATTCACTTCACTGGATGTGTGAATCAAGGGCATGAAGTAAACAAATGTGTGTTCTAAAAGGTGTCTGTGGCCCACACCCAAGTAAACAAGGGCAGCTTTGTGCTCTGTCTCTCTCCAGACTACATCAGGGGAGGATGTCAGGGACTTTGCCAAGGTGCTGAAGAACAAGTTCAGAACCAAACGCTACTTTGCCAAACATCCACGCATGGGTTACCTGCCTGTCCAGACCATCCTGGAGGGAGACAACATGGAAACGTGAGTTTTGCAAACAGGAAGAGAAACTAGAAATTGAGAGACACTCCAACAAGAGGGTCCACACGCTTAATCAAAACACACTAGCAAGTGTCTGATTCTGTAAAGACATTTTATTTAAACCCATTCATGCAAAGCAGTGTAGCCATAGTTTGATAAGAGAGATTTGGCTGTGATAGTGTTTGTGTAGTGCTGATGTGTTCTCATGTGTTTCTTGTAATATGGTTCAAAATTATGACTGGATTTGGATTTTTTTATGAGGCAGATACTAATGCTGATAATTAAGAGTTAAAAAAAGGCTTTCTTTATAACATGCATAAATATTACCAAAATATGTCTTAGCAAGACATGTTACAGGTACTACAGAGCTAAGGGCGTAGCCACGAGGATGAATTTCAGGTCTGACAAAATCATCCTACCAGGTCCTCTAAAGCTCAGTAATTAACACTTCATATTTAATTAGTTTAATCTGTACAAAAACAGAAGTGTAAAAACTGCAGTTTACCATTTTGTATTTTGCCAGTGGTTATGTGCTAGACTATTTCTTGGTAAGGAATATTTACTTCCCAGAGTCTACCCTGGTTGCCTGGCAACTGCTGAGAGCCTTGAATGTGGAATGGCATTTTGCTAATGTTGATTATGGATGGATGCAACAACTCTAGAGCTGCACA